ATGCTAGCGGGGTACAAATAAGTTTAATAATAATAATAATAATAATAATAATAATAATAATAATCCAGGGAGCAGAACAGAGCCTCCACCTACAAGAGAGAAAGAAGGTCTCAGCCTGGGGTCAAGGCCCACGGCTCCCTTTTCCCAAGGAGGAGGAACACAGGCTTGGGTGGGAGATGCAACCAAAACACCCACCCACAAGCAAGCTATTCATGCCCACGGCCTTTGAGAAATCAGAGTTGTGTTGGAAGGGTGTCACAGATTTCCACATTTCAGTCTTACACATGACTTCTGCAAAGGAGTGGACAATACAGTGGAGTCATAACGAGGTCTACCCGGTCAAGGTTGGCGTGAGGCACGAGTGGAGGGTGGAAGAGAGAAACGTTCCAGGAGGAAGGCACGTCAAGCCAACCCCGACTGGGACCGCCTTCCACCTGGAAACCAATGCCCTCACTGTGGGAGAAGATGCGGGTCAAGAATAGGGCTCCACAGCCACCTACGAATCCACAAGGAAACCCATAATGGAAGACCATCTTACTTGTCCAACGAGGGATCGCCTAAGTAAGTAATAACAATAATCTAAAATCATAACAGTAAATAAAGAACAACACTCAAAAGCAGGGGAATTCCAGACAAGAAACAATCAGGGACAGCTAACAAAGGATTCCCCAGGCAGTAAGAAGTCACACTTTGAAACTGCTAGGACATTAAATATTCATTAAGTTGGCCAATTACAACATGCACACCTATCTCAAACAGACAAGAGTTATTTCTCCCACCCTGGACATTATTCCACAGATATATAAACCCCATTTTCCCAATTTCCAACAGGCCTCACAACCTCTGAGGATGTCTGCCATAGATGCAAGCAAAACGTCAGGAGAGAATGCTTCTGGAACCTGGCCATTGCCCACAGCCTTTGTGTATGCTTGAGGTTTTGAAGGTGCACTTGGTATCCAGCTTATGCCTTTGCTCCTCAATCCATTGACCTGGTTGGGGATGGAAAATAGCGATACTGCTTGAAACACAGAAATGCCTTTGAACACAAGCAGACCCAGAGGCACCACCGCAAAATATACCCCGCAACAAGAGTACCCCTGAAAACCTGCTGCTAGGAACAGCATTGACATCGTCCCCAAGATAGTCTGCTCATTCTCTAGATGTGCGTAAGGGACGGGGGCCTCACCTGCAGCAGTAGGAAGCGACCCTGGCTCTGGCGGGCCCCGGAAGCAGAGGTGAAGGGGACGGGCCCCGGGAGTGGAGGAGACGAAGTCAAAGGTGTCTTGGGGAAGGCAGGGAGGCCGGTGCATCCTTCAGCAGCCTCTCCTGTGTGAACGCACCTGCCAACCCACACTTTACTATATTACACGAATGTGATGCGCACCCCAATTCTGGCAGGGTCATTTAGCCAAAAAAGGTGTGCCATAGATTCGCATAAATACCGTAATCTCTTTACTAATTACGTTATCTCAAGGAACTGGAAGTAACTAGTTGGGAAGCTTGTATTAATTATACGAATGCTGTTGTATTTCTTACTCTACAGACAAACTTATTTATTTATTTGGGGAGCTTCTGTATGGCCTTTCTCCAACGGACCCAAGGCGGTTTACAGCAACATCATCCTTGTGGGAGGCTTCTCTCAAGTCCCCGCATGTTAGAGCGCTCAAGGGAATTACATATACTAGGGGTCCTCAGACTAAGGCCCGGGGGCCGGATATGGCCCTCCAAGGAGTTTGAGATCATCTGGGGAGGCCCTGCTCTCAACCCCACCGCTATCACAAGTGAGGCTGGTGGGGACGAGGAGCAGGGCCTTCTCGGTGGTGGCCCCTCACCTGTGGAACTCGCTTCTGGTGTGAGAGAATTGGCCGTCTGCAAGGACGTTGCCCAGGGGACGCCAGGATGATTCGATGTTTTATCATCCTTGTGGGAGGCTTCTCTCAAGTCCCCGCATGAGGAGCTGGAGCGGACAGCAGAATTAAAGCACACAATATAAAACAAAACCATTATAAATCTCCCAAACTGGAACATAAGTCCCTATTTGGAGGACATTAAAATAATGAGTCAAAATTGGTTAAAACCGTCTAAAACTTCCCATATGGAGATCGACACTATGAAGCGCTCTATATCTCTCTCTCTAAGGCTTCTCTGCAGTTCAATGGAGAGCTATTTGTTTGTTTATTTATTTATTTGACTTGTATACCGCCACTCCCAATTTGGCTCGGAGCGGTTTACAGCAGTAGATTAAAAACAATACAACCAACTTTAAAATACAATAAAAACGAGAACAGACATAGTCCTGAGTTATTCACCCATCGAAGGCTTGTCGGAAAAGAAAGGTTTTACAGGCTTTCCGAAAAGCAAGTAGCTCTCGGATGGTTCGGGTTTCAACTGGCAAGGCATTCCATAAATAAGGGGCCACAATCGAGAAGGCTCTCTGCCTAGTAGAGGACAGATGATAAGTCCGGATGTTGGGGACTTCAAGCAAATTTTGGTCCTCGGACCGAAGTAATCTCTGGGGTTGGTAGGGGGATAAGCGGGCCCTCAGGTACGCCGGCCCCAGACCATATAAGGCCTTAAAGGTTAGTACCAGCACCTTGAAAGTAATCCGGTACTCAATCGGAAGCCAGTGCAACTGTTGTAGAATTGGGGTAATATGACACCTCGCCGGCACCGCAGCGAGAAGACGAGCCACCGCATTTTGCACCAGCTTCAGTTTCCGGATCACTGACAAAGGAAGGCCAATGTAGAGGGCATTACAGTAGTCAAGCCTTGAGATGACCGTCGCCTGGATCACTGTAGCCAGGTCGTTCCTAGATAGGAAGGGAGCCAGTCGCCTAGCCTGACGTAGGTGGAAAAACGCAGATCTGCTCACAGCAGAGACCTGGGCCTCCATTGTGAGCAGAGGGTCCAATAAGACACCAAGGCTTTTTACAGAAGGTGACGGACGTAGTGTCTCGCCATCCAGGGTAGGCAGCTGGATCTCCCTCCCACCCGGACGGCCCAGCCAAAGGATCTCCGTCTTCGCTGGATTCACCCTCAACCTGCTGGCACGCAACCATCCAGTAACGGCCTCAAGGCACTGATGGAAATTTTCGGGTACAGAGTCCGGCCAGCCCTCCATCCTCAGAATGAGCTGAGTGTCATCAGCGTACTGGTGGCACTCAAGCCCAAAGCTCCGCACCAGTTGGGCAAGCGGTCACGCATATATATATATTATTCCCTTAATATAAGATCCAGGGACCTAAATTTTGCAAAATAGATCACATTCTCATAGTCTTTAACAAAATCAATGATGTATAACACCTGGGAGCACCCGGTGGTGCAGTGGGTTGAACCGCTGAGCTCCTGAGATTGTTGACCAAAAGGTCGCAGGTTCGAATCCAGGGAGCGGCGTGAGCTTCTGCTGTCAGCCCCAGCTTCTGCCAAACTAGCAGTTCAAAAACATGCAAATGTGAGTAGCTCAACAGGTACCATTCTGGCGGGAAGGTAATGGTGCTCCAGGCATTCATACCGGCCACATGACTTTGGAGGTGTCTAAAGACAATGCCGGCTCTTTGGCATAGAAATGCAGATGAGCACCAAACCTCAGAGTTGGACACAACTGGACTTAACGTCAGAGGAAAACCTAAATAACATTGTTCATTCTCAAATAACAAGAGTTTTTTAATTTAATGTCGGTTAAATGTGTGTGAGCCAGGAGCAGGGAAGCAGGCAGTGATTTCTAGCCAGAGAGATGATTTGCACATCAAGGGAAATAACCACGCAAGCATCTTTTCCTTTGGCTTGATCTCAACAGAAGCGCTGTCTTCGCTGGAGAACAACACTCACAAACTGGAAATTTGCAACCAAGGTGGCAAAGGAGCTGGAAACTAAGCCCAGAGGAACAACTGATGGAATTACAGTGTTCTCTCGCTACTTTGCGGCTCACGTTTAAGTTAAGGGGACGTGTAACCACATCTAACACAGGCTGTAACCCTATGCCCTGTTTGGCCTTTCAACTGACCAGGAGTACCAACTGAGGTTATAGTGGATATGGAGGTGAGAGCAGGAGGGGCAGAGCAGGTGGGAAAAGGGGCCGAGGGAGCAGAGTCCGGCTTCTCACATCGGTCCCATCTTGGAAGGAAGGCAGGATGGACGTTTAATCTCTCCATCAGTCCCCAGGTGAGTGAAGCCAAGAGGCAGTGCACTCACCTGTTCTAAGAACACAACAAGACTCGTGTTTTTCAGTGTAATGTGGATTCAAAGTGTGTGTGCCAAGAGCAGGGAAAACAGCCAGTAAATGCGAGCCAGAGATACAATTTGCACATCAAGGGAAATAACCACGCAAGCATCTTTTCCTTTGGTTTGGCCTCAACAGAAGCAATGTGGTTTATTTTTAAAATAAGTGACATGACAATCATATTTCACCCTCTGAAGGATTGTCACAGGGAGCTTGCTTTCTGAGCCTTTCTCCAGAGAAGAGGACCTCACCATAGGAATTCAAAGGACAAGAAAGTGGACTTTACCAAATCTTAGGCAGAACTTCTCAAATGGTCCTGTTTGAAAATTTATGTTTCCCCACAAAGGCTGAGAAGAGGAAAGCCAGTCCAGTCCCATGGTGATGCCCGTGACCAGAGAAGCAAAAGAGCAACAGTCTCAAGTCAAACAAAGCAAAACATCCAAACACAGTTTGAAACCAAGAAGGGAATTGTCTAAGAAATCAGCCCAAAGTCAAGCCAAGTGCTACATGAAGCCAAGGGAATCACACATGTTCATTGGAAAATATTGAATGTATAGTCTATAGGGCCAGAATGTCCAAATCTGCAATTTCCCTGTTGCTGTTCTTTCTTTTTCTTTTTCTTTTTACTTTTGTCCCATCTCTTTCGATGGTTTTTCTCCTCTATGAATTCCCTGGCAACTTGCCAGATATGAACTCCTGGCATTGCTTTGGCGTCTCTCCTGTGTGGACTCTTTTGTGCCTCACCAAGGTTGAAATGTGAGCAAAACATTTCTCACATTCATGGCATTTGTATGGCTTCTCTTCTGTATGGAGTCTATTGTGCCTCACCAAGTATGAACTGTAAGCAAAACATTTCCCACATTCATAGCATTTGTATGGCTTCTCTCCTGTGTGGACTCTTTTGTGGCTCACCAAGGCTGAACTGAAAGCAAAACATTTCCCACATTCATGGCATTTCTATGGCTTCTCTCCTGTGTGAACTCTTTTGTGGCTCACCAAGGCTGAAATCACAGCAAAACATTTCCCGCATTCATAGCATTTGTATGGCTTCTCTCCTGTATGGACTCTTTTGTGTTTCACCAAGTGTGAATTCATAGAAAAACATTTCCCACATTCATGGCATTTGTATGGCTTCTCTCCTGTATGGACTCTTTTGTGTTTCACCAAGCCTGAATTGTCAGTAAAACATTTCCCACATTCATAGCATTTGTATGGCTTCTCTCCTGTGTGGACTCTTTTGTGGCTCACCAAGGCTGAAGTCACAGCAAAACATTTCCCACATTCATGGCATTTGTATGGCTTCTCTCCTGTATGGACTCTTTTGTGGGTCACCAAGGCTGAACTGGTAGCAAAACATGTCCCACACTCTTGGCATTTGTATGGCTTCTCTCCTGTATGGACTCTTTTGTGTTTCACCAAGTGTGAACTGGAAGCAAAACATTTCCCACATTCATAGCATTTGTATGGCTTCTCTCCTGTGTGGACTCTTTTGTGCCTCACCAAGTGTGAATTCATAGAAAAACATTTCCCACATTCATAGCATTTGTATGGCTTCTCTCCTGTATGGACTCTTGTGTGGCTCACCAAGGCTGAAGTCTCAGCAAAACATTTCCCACATTCATAGCATTTGTATGGCTTCTCTCCTGTATGGAGTCTTTTGTGTCTCACTAAGGCAGAACTGTCTGCAAAACATGTCCCACACTCTTGGCATTGGTGTGGCTCCTCTCCTGTATGGACTCTTTTGTGGGTCACCAAGTGTGAACTGTAAGCAAAACATTTCCCACATTCATAGCATTTGTATGGCTTCTCTCCTGTATGGACTCTTGTGTGGCTCACCAAGGCTGAAGTCTCAGCAAAACATTTCCCACATTCATAGCATTTGTATGGCTTCTCTCCTGTGTGGACTCTTTTGTGCCTCACCAAGTGTGAATTCATAGAAAAACATTTCCCACATTCATAGCATTTGTATGGCTTCTCTCCTGTATGGACTCTTGTGTGGCTCACCAAGGCTGAAGTCTCAGCAAAACATTTCCCACATTCATAGCATTTGTATGGCTTCTCTCCTGTGTGGACTCTTTTGTGGCTCACCAAGGCTGAAATCACAGCAAAACATTTCCCACATTCATAGCATTTGTATGGCTTCTCTCCTGTGTGGACTCTTTTGTGCCTCACCAAGTGTGAATTCATAGAAAAACATTTCCCACATTCATAGCATTTGTATGGCTTCTCTCCTGTATGGACTCTTGTGTGGCTCACCAAGGCTGAAGTCTCAGCAAAACATTTCCCACATTCATAGCATTTGTATGGCTTCTCTCCTGTGTGGACTCTTTTGTGGCTCACCAAGGCTGAAGTCACAGCAAAACATTTCCCACATTCATGGCATTTGTATGGCTTCTCTCCTGTATGGACTCTTTTGTGGGTCACCAAGGCTGAACTGGTAGCAAAACATGTCCCACACTCTTGGCATTTGTATGGCTTCTCTCCTGTATGGACTCTTTTGTGTTTCACCAAGTGTGAACTGGAAGCAAAACATTTCCCACATTCATAGCATTTGTATGGCTTCTCTCCTGTGTGGACTCTTTTGTGGCTCACCAAGGCTGAAGTCACAGCAAAACATTTCCCACATTCATGGCATTTGTATGGCTTCTCTCCTGTATGGACTCTTTTGTGGGTCACCAAGGCTGAACTGGTAGCAAAACATGTCCCACACTCTTGGCATTTGTATGGCTTCTCTCCTGTATGGACTCTTTTGTGTTTCACCAAGTGTGAACTGGAAGCAAAACATTTCCCACATTCATAGCATTTGTATGGCTTCTCTCCTGTGTGGACTCTTTTGTGCCTCACCAAGTGTGAATTCATAGAAAAACATTTCCCACATTCATAGCATTTGTATGGCTTCTCTCCTGTATGGACTCTTGTGTGGCTCACCAAGGCTGAAGTCTCAGCAAAACATTTCCCACATTCATAGCATTTGTATGGCTTCTCTCCTGTATGGAGTCTTTTGTGTCTCACTAAGGCAGAACTGTCTGCAAAACATGTCCCACACTCTTGGCATTGGTGTGGCTCCTCTCCTGTATGGACTCTTTTGTGGGTCACCAAGTGTGAACTGTAAGCAAAACATTTCCCACATTCATAGCATTTGTATGGCTTCTCTCCTGTGTGGACTCTTTTGTGCCTCACCAAGTGTGAACTGGAAGCAAAACATTTCTCACATTCATAGCATTTGTATGGCTTCTCTCCTGTGTGGACTCTTTTGTGCCTCACCAAGTGTGAATTCATAGAAAAACATTTCCCACATTCATAGCATTTGTATGGCTTCTCTCCTGTATGGACTCTTGTGTGGCTCACCAAGGCTGAAGTCTCAGCAAAACATTTCCCACATTCATAGCATTTGTATGGCTTCTCTCCTGTGTGGACTCTTTTGTGGCTCACCAAGGCTGAAATCACAGCAAAACATTTCCCGCATTCATAGCATTTGTATGGCTTCTCTCCTGTATGGACTCTTTTGTGTTTCACCAAGTGTGAATTCATAGAAAAACATTTCCCACATTCATGGCATTTGTATGGCTTCTCTCCTGTATGGACTCTTTTGTGTTTCACCAAGCCTGAATTGTCAGTAAAACATTTCCCACATTCATAGCATTTGTATGGCTTCTCTCCTGTGTGGACTCTTTTGTGGCTCACCAAGGCTGAAGTCACAGCAAAACATTTCCCACATTCATGGCATTTGTATGGCTTCTCTCCTGTATGGACTCTTTTGTGGGTCACCAAGGCTGAACTGGTAGCAAAACATGTCCCACACTCTTGGCATTTGTATGGCTTCTCTCCTGTATGGACTCTTTTGTGTTTCACCAAGTGTGAACTGGAAGCAAAACATTTCCCACATTCATAGCATTTGTATGGCTTCTCTCCTGTGTGGACTCTTTTGTGCCTCACCAAGTGTGAATTCATAGAAAAACATTTCCCACATTCATAGCATTTGTATGGCTTCTCTCCTGTATGGACTCTTGTGTGGCTCACCAAGGCTGAAGTCTCAGCAAAACATTTCCCACATTCATAGCATTTGTATGGCTTCTCTCCTGTATGGAGTCTTTTGTGTCTCACTAAGGCAGAACTGTCTGCAAAACATGTCCCACACTCTTGGCATTGGTGTGGCTCCTCTCCTGTGTGGAGTGTTTTGTGCCTCACCAAGTTTGAACTCTGACCAAAACATTTCCTATACTCCTGGCATTGGTATTGCTTCTCTCCATATAGATTGCATTTGTAAGGCCTTTCTCTGGCAGAACGTCTGTCTTCACTGTGGGCTTGCTGGTGTCTAGGAAGGTCCTCATTGTGTCCAAAATGCTTACTGTTTTTGATGTATACATTGCTCTTCTTCCAGTTATCTGCTGTGAAGAAGAAGGACAGAAACAATCATTCCTCAGCGTGAGTGATAAGTGGTCTTAGATATAAACTGTGTCCTCTCCCCACCTCTTGTGCAGTAAGGATTGACACTGTTTGACTGCCTGGAGCGCCTCTAAAGGTGAGCTGAGTAATATATGTTCCAGAGTATACCTGTTGCTCAGCCAGGTATGTTTTTTTTAATCTGACTCCTTCTCCCTTTTCCCTTCACATTCAAATCCTTGCCTTTTTCTCTAACTAAACCTTTACCTTGCTACCACGCATTTCACAAACATTCCCTTCTTTTTCTTTCTCTCCCCAACCTCCAGTTCTCTCTCCTCATGTGACTGTAAACAAAAAAACCCGAGCCTCAACCATTCACAAGCACAGAACCTAGAACACATTATGTTGCAGGTCACCATCTTGCAAATGGCTGAGGCTAAGGACAGTTTMTGTGTTGGGAGAGGCAGCATACAAAGAGAGCCTGGCRTTCAGACYTGCAGAGGCTAGACTGCCTGGCTGGGAGGAAAACAAGGCTGAACYTGTCTGCAAAACATGTCCCACACTCTTGGTGTGTGTGTGTGTGTGTGTGCCTGATCTGCGGTGATCACTCTTGGGAGGTGTTCCAGAGAGCCCCCTTACTGCCAAGGAATACGCTTGGACATGACTCCAGTTATGGAAGTCTTCCTGGTGCCAAACATGCCCCCCCCCCCCCGCCCAATAATGATAGTTTATAATCAAGAAATTCATAGTTTTGCCAAGGACACCAGGCTGGAATGATATAACAAGAGTTAAAGTTTGACCAATCTCTAGAAGGACTCTCAGACAATGGGATCCCAAAGCCTTTTGTCTGAGGCTAGCAAAAGGGGAAATGCCAACTGCACAATATTTTATAACCTTCCCCTTATTTCTGAAATCGCATCTTTCCTGCCCATCCTTGCTTTTCTGTATAATCTTTGACTCACCTTTGCTGATACTGGACAAAAACATATCCTACCAAAATACACACACATATAGTCTCTTCACATCTCTTCCCCCATGTGGGAACCTAAGGCTTTTCCGTGGCCCCACATGGCAACCATATTTGTGTGCCCTTTCTTTCTTGTGTGTGTTGCCTCGAAGTGGTGCCCCATGGTGCCCGCAGACCCCGGAAAGCCCCTCATGTGTCACCCCTGTGACCCAGGGCAGCATCAGGCCAATTTGGTTGTTTTTATGAATTGGATTGCCGTTTTATGAATGAACCTCATGTTTTATGAATGGACTTCAGCTGCTCTTGCTTCTATGGACTTTTGTCAACTTTTATGAGCTTTTATGAACTCTGGGTGACTAGGATGGATCTTTCCTCAACCCTGCATGTACCGCTTTCCCACATGTATATGCCCCTAATTCCCATTTATGATATGTATGTATGTTTAAAGCAATGGTATTCACCGTAGTAACCATCAGATGTGAGAGCTGGACCTTAGGGAAGGTTGAGCCGAGGAAGAGAGATGCTTTTGAACTGTGGTGTTGGAGGAAAGTTCTGAGAGTGCCTTGGACTGCGAGAAGATCCAACCATCCTTTAGGAAATAAAGCCCGGCTGCTCATTGGAGGGAAGGATATGGGAGGCCAAGATTAAGTACTTTGGCCACATCCTGAGAAGAAAGGAAAGCTTAGAGAAGACAAGTATGCTGAGGAAAGTGAAAGGAAAAAGGAAGAGGGGCCGACCAAGAGCAAGATGGATGGATGGCATCCTTGAAGTGACTGGCTTGACTCTGAAGGAGCTGGGGGAGGTGACGGCCGACAGGGAGCTCTGGCGTGGGATGGTCCATGAGGTCACAAAGAGTCAGAAGTGACTGAACGAATGAACAACAACAACATGTATGTATATATAAAAAATATTGAGCAGGTTGACCTCCTCATGAACTATGCCCAGCAACTAAAGGCCCAAGTATTGCAAGACATCCTTGGCCAATAATCCCTTAACCATGGGCTTGGCAGAAACCCATCAGCATGTACAATAAGCAAATAGCCCCTTTTTCTGGACATCAGAGGGTCTTTGACCAGATTACCTAGGCATGGGGACCATGGACATATCAGATACTTGACACAAAGGACACTTCCCCAACTGAGAGGGAAAGGGGATTGTCGCCGCTTCTCCTTCATTGTGCCATTCCGCATCATCTATCGGACAGATGGCAAGATATTTAACCTCAGCAGACTGAAAGCCAAAACCAAGGTTACAACAACTTCTGTTATAGAACAGAGGTATGCTGGTGACAACGTTGTCTGTGCGCAATCAGAAGAAGACCTACAAGCCACTCGACACACCTTTGCAGAAGCACACGAGAAGTTTGGCCTGTCACTGAACATCGAGAAAACCAAAGTCCTCTTCCAGCAGTCACCAGCCAATTCCTCTCCCATGTCAGAAATACTGCTTAATGCTGTAACATTAGAAAATGTTGACCATTTCCGCTACCTTGGCAGTCACCTCTCCACAAAAGTCAATATTGACACCAAAATACAACACCGCCTGAGCTGTGCGAGTGCAGCATTTTTCCGAATGAAGCAGAGTGTTTGAGGATCGGGACATCCATAGGAAGACCAAGGTGCTTGTTTATAAAACTATTGTCCTCCCAACCCTGCTATATGCCTGTGAAAAGTAGACTGTCTACAGACGTCACACGCAACTCCTGGAACGATTCCATCAGCATCGCCTCTGAAAAATCTCCTGGCAAGATAGGCGGACAAATGTCAGCATGCTGGAAGAAGCAAAGACCACCAGCACTGAAGCGATGGTCTTCCACCATCAGCTCCACTGGACCGGCCACGTTGTCCGAATGCCTGACCACTGTCAATATTGCAGGACTTTGTGACAATAGATCTGGCTCTTCGGGGCCAGACAAAGATGTTGATTTAGAAACTCAGGACAATAGTCAGGATCAAGACTGGAAGGCTCAAGCTATCTGCCTTGATCACCTATCATATGGGTGTGGAAAGGGCCATTCATAATTCTATCCTTTACACATCCGTTCATTGTTTTCTCTTCTGCCCGCCTCCCTTTCGCTCATTGGCTGAGCGGCCAAAGTGAGGCTTGCACTCTGGTTGGAGGAGGCACCTCCTCCCCCGGTTGCTCCGTAGGCCCACTGACATCACAGTCAACCACAGCGAAGTCGGTTCAAGTGGTGGGCGCAAGGAAATTTGAATGGCAAACTATATATTCTATATTTTTCTACCCAAAAAACATGGCAGTTTCTTCAGCAAATTAATGCAT